GGGGGCAAAAGGGGAAAAAAAACGTGTTTTATTATCAGAGGCACTAACATGGCAGGAAACACATTTCACATGCAACTTGAAAGTGTGAGAAGACAAGTGCGTCGTTAGAGAGCGGGGCAGCCACATGCCCCTGCCTCTCCTGAGCGCTGTCCACCCGCAGTCAGGCCGGACCTGCACCCTCATGGGGCAGCAGGGCGGGGCCCTTCTCTGTGCCCTCCACCCCCAGCCCTCTTCAACCGTTGTTACGAAACTTTTAGGGACCTGCACTCTGTCAGGATCCATATTTACAGGGCACACATGCCAGCCTCATGGGGAGACCACATCACAGGGAGACCACCACACGGTAACGTCCGCTAAGAGGCATCAACGACTGGCCTCAAACCAGGAGCTACTGCACGGAGAAACAGCCCCCAACTTCGACCTGGAAGAACAAGGGGAAACGAAGCAGGAAGACATCGGGACACCTGCTGACACCGCAGCAGCGCTACAGCAGAATGAGAGCCTGGGTTTGGGGCGTCCTGGCCCCCCGGGACCTACAGAAACAGGCCACAGCATCAGCTCTTTCCAAGGCTGTTTCATTCCTGAATAACAAAGGCAGACATTGGGTGTTTCACAAAATGTCCATAATTGGTTTTCCATTGAGCCCACCTCGAGGGTGAGGTGCCATTTATGGGGCCTGGCCTGTCATTACACCAGACAGCTTGGTGCTAAGCCCCTCCGACTCCTGGGATCAAAACAGATACACAGGTGGGCGCACAGACAACGCCAGGCGGCCTGGGGAAGGCAGGCATGGGTGTGGGGGGAACCGCATACTGGCTCTGGTCTGACCAGCGCAGGCTGTGCAGTGCAGGGGCCAAGATGGGAGGAAGTACAACCTGTCGGACAACAATTCAAGGCGTCCCACCCATGGCGGGCTTCCTCAAGGCCCCCTGTGGTTTGAGGCTGGGCCTGCAGGGACCAGGGGACCTGTGTCCCGTGTCACTGGACTCACAGCTGCAAATCAGAGTGTGGCTGTGCCCCTCTGAGCCTCCGCCCACCTGTGAGCATGTGTCTGGGCACGAAGGCCTGGCTCTCAAGGCAGGGACGCGCGTGAGGAGCCGGTGGGCAGAGGCTGTCCTAGAGGTCCTGGCCAGGGGCCCCATGCTGCAGAGGTAAGTCACGGGGGTGACAAGGTCCCCCTCCTTCACCCTTCCCACCCCCCTGCTGAGACCCCTCTTCTACCCCATGAGGCCCTTAGGCCACCCCAACAAGGGGTGACTTGAAGGAGGGGCTCTTACTTCTGTAGGGGATGCCCCTCCCAAAGCTGTTCCCAAAGAATCTGGGACTCAGGAAGACAGGATCCTTGGAGGGCAGACACAGTTCAGGAGAAGACCAGCAGGGTTCTGAAACTGACCCCCACCCCCACTGTGGGGAACCCAACCTCCACTGGGTCCCCCACGCCTGAGGGGCCGGGAGTGGAGAAAGAGATGGAGGGGCAGAGACCAAGAGATGTAGAGAGACAGAGACAGACTGAGATGGAAATGGGCTGGGGCTTGAGTACCAGCTGTGGGCGGGCGCCAGGTGCCTCTGTTGTGATACCCTTGGGTACCTAGTAGCCAGTCTGCAAATATTGCTGTCTGTCTCTCAGACTGAACAGGTGGTGGGCTCAGAACCATGGCCGAGAATTACTTTCCTGCCAGCAGGTGCTGGGGGGTGGTGGGAGCTACCTGGGCAGCCGTGGGCTATAAGTCATTTGCCTACAATCCTTACTGGAAGCAAAGGGTGATTGCTGAGATGGTATCTGCGTCTTTAAGGATGCCTCTGAGGCTTTAAGGAGAGAGGTGTCTGCTGGGCTGGCCTGCGGTAAGCTTAGGGGACACACCTGGGGCTGACCACCTGAGTTCCTCCGAGTGAGAAGCAGACCAAGGGGAAGGCCAGGGAGAGAGAAGGTGCAGCAGGACACCAGGAGCCGGGAGGCGGGCCACAGTGGGTCAGCAGTGGCTGCAGTGGGTAGCCTGGGGCCACCTGGGGCCTGAACGAATGTGGGAGGACCACCTGCCCCCAGGAAAGATGCAGGTGGCGGATGCCCGGGGACCAGGAAGCCCCTCCCTCCCTTCCTTCCCAGCACAGGTGCATGGTAGCCCCCGGAGTCAGGAAGGAGCCCTGTGCTGACAGACTGTCCGAGCTGACAGGTGCCTTCCCTCCTAAAAAGGACTTTGGGTCTGAAAGCTGGGGCTCCCTTACCACACAGTCATGCTCAGCCAGCGGCCAGCCCGATCCCAGGAGCAGGGTGCAGCAGAGCTGGCTCCAGGAGCTCAGGCCCACCAGCCAGTGGCAGCCAGGCTCCCCCCTCCCCGGGCTTGCTCTACACCTGCTCCCAAGGCCTCGAACCCTCCGAATCCTCAGAGAGGCAGCAGCCTTCTCCTCCAGCTGGCAGAGGCAGGGTCATACCCAGGCAGGTGACTGCCAGACACACAGAGGGCAGCCCGGTGCTTCCAGAGTCCTAACACGGTGGACAGCAAGATGGGACCAGCCTGACGATGGCCCTGGCTGGCGAGGACGGGCGCCCTATAAGCACCCTTGAGACGGCTGAGGATCGAGGCCCAGGAAGTGCTGACTCTGCCGGCGGCCTCACATCATGTCACCCATCAGAACTCTGGCCCTGCAGGCCCAGTGACGGCCACACGACCAGGCCCCGGGGGGATTCCTGAACTAGGTTAACAGGAGCCCCTCACCCGGACCCACCAAGGGGCCTCATCCCACACAATAAAAAAAGCTGTATTTGAAGGCAAAGGATTATTGGTTGTAAACATGAGCACCAGACATCTGGGACCAGAGGAACTAATGGTGACTTACTAAATGGTAATTTACTACGTCTTCTAAAGATGCTGTTAACACTGGAGCACAGAGGCAGGGAACTGTGTTCGGAGGATCTCCACCCCCTTCGATCCTGAATCTCGCCAAAGAAAGGACAGGAATGGATGGGAAAACAGACACGTGGTCTACCAGAGCAGCTGGGCTCAAAGCACCCTCCCGACGTAACCCTGAACTCTAACCTTGACCCATACCCTGACCCTAACCCGGCTCCGCCCAGCGTTCCACTGCCTCTTTAGAAGGAAAGCGGACCAAGGACCACATCCAGACAGAGCGAACCGTCTGTACAAAGGTCCGCACAGACGCACGTGTCGTTTGAAGCGAAGGGCTTGCGATTCAACAAAGGGAAGACGCAGAAGCAGCCTCTCCGATGAGGAAGCTGGTAAGGGAGATGTGATTACCCGTAGGGGGCGGGGACGGGAAATCATGGCCGGCTTTGATGTGAACAGGAGCTTATGAACGCCTGACGGGGCTGTGAGGGCCTCCCCCCCCCCCCCCGCACCAACCGGGGGACTCAAGGGGAGGGGAGCCGGGACACCCCAGGAAGTGCGAGGTGCCTGCGCAGAAACACACAGGAGACCAGTGGCCCCGGGGAGTCAGCAGCGCTTCCTCCTTCTTTGTGAATAGTTATAATCAAAACATAAAAGTAATTAAAATCAGAGAAGGGAATCGATCTTGAGGCAGAGCAGCAGGGTGGTTAGGCAGCAAGGTAAAGCCAGGTCAGGGCCTGGCACTCTGGGCAACGGGCTGGGCGGGCAGGCGGTGGGTGGTGGCGACGCTGCCCTTTCTTGTCACCTGCAAGCCTCCTCTCTCAGCCCACAAGCGCACGTTCTGGCCACGGGGCCGCGGGGTCTGGGAGCACTGCACCTGTCGCCCAGCCCTCGGCTGGCCAGGGACCAGGGACCCCGGGTGGCCAAACGCACAGCCCTGCTGCTGGACTTTCAGAAATCTGCAGGGCATGACTCACTGGGCATCCGGTTCCTCATTAAACACCGGGAAAAGAGGCGAGGCCAGAAAGGACCAGCAGACGGCTCCGCGCAGTGGGGCTGAAGCCTGCGGCCGACCTGGGTGCCCGTGATAAAGAACCCTTTCTGAGCTCAGCCTGGCGGGCGTAGGCTGTGCCACAGGGAGCCACACGCAGGCCATCTTCCAAATCTTGTTTCAGAAAGGTGCTTAAAAGGGGTCGTCCTGTTAACCCTCAGAAATATGTCAAAATAAAAGCCTACGTGGGTCACATTGAGCGTCTGTTGATTGTATACCATGTCTATTACATCCCAGAAATCTCTAGAAGAAAAACGGGAATAGAGCCCAAACAGCCTGGGCCTCACCCTGAACTCGCGGTACCCAGGGACACTCCGCAAGTTGTCCCCATTCCTGCCACTCCTGCCACCAGAGTCATTTGCCCTGGCAGAATTATACGCAGGGCCCCAGGCGCCCGGGGACCCCGAGTGTTTTCAGGCAAACTCCCCGCCCCTACAGGGCACAGAGGGGGGTCCACGCTTGGGCTGCTCCGTGCAGCGCGCTGCCCAGTGCCCGGCAGTCCCCAGGGCCGTTACCGGCGGACATCCACCCTGCGGCAGTGAGGGGCGCTCCTGAGGCCACCAGCCGTTTCCGCAGGGCACCTCGCTGAACGGGGCGCACACAGGGGCTCTGCCTTCTTTTCACCCTGACTCCCGGTCCCCCCACCTCCAGCACCATCCCAGTCATCTTATTTTGGGACCTGCTGCCTCAAGCAATTCCAGATTTCTCCGCTTTCCATTCCTCCGACAGGCAAACCTCCCACTGCCCCTGGTGAGGACCCGCTGGGCGCCCCGGGGCCCCCGGCTCCCACCCTGCTGGGGGGCCCGGCAGGAGCCAGGGCTCTGCCCGGACCACCTCATTCCGGTGCGGACGCCTGCAGAGGTCTGCGGAAGGGAGCGAGGGGCGGGGTCCCCGTAGGACCCCGCGTCCGCTCACAGCTGACGGAGACCTGGGGCCCCCGGGGCTCGCAGGTGCCGAGGGGGCTGGGTGGGGGGGCAGTCAGGTGACCCTGCCCTTTCGGGTTCCCGAACTCGCCGCCTCCGCACGCACGGTCCCGGGTCGGCCCCGCCAGCGCGCGCACGGACCACGTCCCCAGGACGCGGTGCCGCAGGGCCCGCCGCGCTCACCGTCTCGGGGTCGTTCTCGAACACCTCCCGGGCCTCCTCCTGGCTGCACAGCTCCTCGATGCACTCCCGCTCCAGGTGGCCCTGCTTGGCCTCCTCGAAGACCTGGTAGGCGCGCCGCTGCCTGGGCCGCAGGAACTGCGCCGCCTCGCGCGCCCGCAGCACCACTGCCGCCCGGCGCGGGCGGGGTCGCGGCGGGAGAGAGCGGGAGGCCGTCAGCGCGGCCCGCGCCCCGCGCCCCCGTCCCCGCCCCGGCCTGCGGCCCCCGCGCCCCACCCGCGCCCGGCCCCGCGCGGGACTCACCGTGCGCGGACTCGGAGGCCAGGAGGGCCAGCACCAGCGCGGCGCCCAGGGCGGCGGCGGGCCCGGGCGGCATGGCGGGGCGGGCGGGGCGCGGGCCGGGGCGGATCGCGGTCAGAGCGCCCGGGAGGCCGCGGCGAGCCGCGGGCGCCGCGGGGCGGAGGCTCCGGTCATCCCGTGCGCGCGGCTCTGAAGGTCACATCGCGGCGGCACCTCGGCGCTCGCAGCCGGTCTGGGCGGAGACGGCGGCGCGGCCTGGGGCCGGGGGCGGGGCGCGGGCGGGGCCGGGGGCGGGGCGGGCAGGACGGGGCCGCGGGGGGCCCGGGTGGCGCGCGGCGGACGGGACCCTGCTCGAGGGGTGCGGAGGGCACGAGGGGCGGCGGACGGGCAGGACCCTCCTCGCAGGGGCGAGGGGCGCACGAGGGGCGAGGGGCGGGCAGGACCCTCCTCGCAGGGGCGAGGGGCGCACGAGGGGCGAGGGGCGGGCAGGACCCTCCTCGCAGGACACCGGGCGCCGTGCGGGTCTTCGCTTGGCAGACTAAGGAATTGGGAGAGGCGGGTCCGCGAGACGGGCCTGCGTAGACCGGCGCCTCCGGAAGTTTCCTCCAGCCAGGGCTTGGGTTTGTTTAATCAGAACGGGTTAACGGGCAGAAGAAGTGACCCCCAGGCGCCACGGGACCAGGTACCATCCGATCATTTACCGAGTTCAACCTCCCACCCGCCGCCGCCGGCCCCCGCCCAAATCTGCTACATCCTTTTTGGATTTTTCATTCTTTAATCATTCTCAAGGTTTAAGACAACTAAAGAAAAGGTACACGGAGGTCAAACCCAGTCCCCGCGGAGCCCTGGGAGTGGGATGAGATTGTTCTCTTTTGTCATCTGTTTTCCATAATGATGACATTGAAAATCTTGAGGTTTCCCACTAGATACTTAAGCTGAAGTTCAAGCCGGGACCAAGCCTTTCTGTCTCGTCCGGGAAGATTTCGCAAAGTCACGGGCAAAATCCAAACAAAACCAGAGCGTCGCGGACAGCCGCGCTGGACGCGCCAGGCGCGCGCGGAGGGGCCGGGCCGCCGCTGGGCCGGGTGGGCTCCGCGCGGACTGCGGACCTCGGCCCCGCCTCGTTGCCGGGCGGGAGAGGGAGGGGTCTCCGCAGGGGGGTTCTTTGAGGTCCGGTGTTTGAAGGCGAGGCGAGTAGAGTCAGCATATTAAGTCCCGGGCACGAATGTTCCAGAGAGGGCTGCCCAGCGTGAACGGGCAGTTTGACAGGTTGGTCCTCTGCACGCGGTAACTGGAGGCGCGAGGCCCCCCTTGTCCCCTAGCCACTCCAAGAGCAAGTGATGGCAGCCGCGGCGCTTGGAAAGAGGATTTATTATATCAATTTTGCAGCTTGTTCTTGGAGGGGCACTGATGTAAAAAATCTGGGTGGGGCAATAAATTATCAAATTGGTGCTTACACCTGTTTTTAATTGTTAATCCTACTTCTATTATTCTTCCTAGGGGTTCTAAACCGGTGGCCCGTGGTAGATTTCAAGAAGTGTGTGAACTCTAGGCATTGTTTACAATTATTTCCTGCATTATTTGTGTCTGGAGAAGAGAGTTTGTAGAGTCTGTGCAGTTCTCAGCGTCTGACCCAAGTGAGAGTGGGCACAGCCGCTCCAGGTTCCTTGGGGAGGGTCTGCACTGGGGCTGATCCACGTGAGCGGGCATCGCAGGGCCCTGGTCAGAGGGAGCCTTTTGGACCCTGGACCTGCTCCCCGTCCCCATATTCCCCATTCACCTCTTCTACTGGATTGTATCCCAGTAACCGCCATACCGCCTATTATGTAGAGACTCGGTTTAGTAAAGCGCATTCACGTACACTCACTCATTTTGGTTTTGATGCCCATGGAATGCAGAATGCAATGACAATGTCAGACCCTAGCGAACTCCATTTTCAACCTAGTTATTAAAGCAGGAAATGTGCTCCGAGACAGAGGTGGAAAATGGATAAGAAGCCATTTGGACAGTGTGCTCCGAAATTAGCAAGAGTTGTCAGGCACTATATTATAAACCCTGAAACATCAATGGGGAAACAGGAAGGTTGGACATCAGGCATTGGCACTTTACCAACAGTCAGCCCGTCTGTGGTCAGGAGGTGGAAAGGTGACGGGTGTGGGGGAGAGGTGGGGTGGGGGACACGAGGGCTTCGTGGGGAATCAGAGTTCTCTCTCTCTTCTGTAATGACGGTGGGTGAGGACTTACAAGGCATTTCATTCATGCAGCCACTCAATAAATGGGAGCTGAGGACCTGCTGTTTCATCTTCAAAAGACCCTGTGCAGGATCTTTCATACTTGGTTTCTCCTTGTTTTTTTTTAAACAGCTTCATTGAGGTAGAACAGAAATACAAGAAGCTGCATACGTAAGTTCTGATAGATCTATGATGTACGTACACACCTGTGAAACCACCATCGTGATCCAGTTAAGAACATACCCATCCACATTTCCTCATTCCCTTTGGTGATTCCTCCCAATGGGAGCATCCCTGCCCCACCCCAGCCAAAACTGCAGGCCAGCTCCCTGTCCCTACAGAATAGGCTGCATTTTCTGGAGCTTTATGTAAAAGGAATCATACGGTATGTACCTTTTTTTGCTCTGGCTTCTCTCAGTAAGCATATTTTCAGATCCGTCACATTGGTGCATGTATCCACAGTCCGTCCCCCTCTGCTCGGTAGTGTTGTGCTGGGTGGATATGCCACCAAGTTGTCTATCACTACCTGTCAGTGGACATTTGTCTTGTTTCCAGTAATTGGTCATTACCGGTAGAGCAACGATGAACGTTTTGAACATTTGTGTGCAAGTTCTTGTATGTACATGAGCTTTCATTTCTCTTGGGGGAAACATCCGGGAAATATCATTGGACCATACAATAGGTATTTGACATTTTAAGAAACTGACAAACTTTTTCAAAGCCATTTGCCATTTTACTTTCCCAGCAGCAGTTTATGAGGGTTCTGCTTGCTTCACATCCCCACCAACACCTGCTATATGATTTTAGCCATTCTGGCAGATGTATAGTTGGCATCTCATTGTGGCTTGAACATGATTCCTAATCACTTACAATGTCAGGCAAATTCTAATATGCTTATTGCCATTCAAATATATTCTGTGGTGAACTGTCAGTTTAAATTTTTTATCTTTTTCTCTTTCACTTGGGATGTTTGCTTTTCCAGTTATTTGTTGAGTTTTAAGAGTTCTTTAAATATTCGGGATATAAGTCCTTTATTAAAATGTATGATTTGGAAATATTTACCTCTAGTCTATGACTTGTCTTTCCATTCTATTAAAGAATGAAACTCTGTTCTTTCTCTCTGTTCTTAATTTTGAAGTGCAATTTATTATTTTTTTTAAATGAATTCTGCCTTTTCAGTTATATTTGCCTAACCCAAGATTGCAAAGATTTTCTCTCAGATATTTTGTAGATTTGAGTTTTGCATTTAGAACTATGATCCATTTTTAATTTGTTCCTAAATATTTCATGTTTTTTCATCCTATTGTGAATGTTTTTAATTCAATTTCTGATTGTTTAAACATTTGATTTTTATATATTTATCACTTATCCTACAACTTGTTAACTTTGCTAAATTACTAGTTTCAGCGTGTTTTTGGTAGACTCAATAGTCTTTACGTAGATGATCATGCTGTCTGTAAATACAGGCACTTCAGGCACTTTACTTCCTCCTTTGTGACTTGGGAGCTCCTTCCGCCTTCTCTAACCCTGTGGACTGTCTGGCAGCCTCCTGCTGCAGTGATGACCAGAAGTGGTGGCAGTGAATATCCCTGTCTTGTTCCTGATCCAGGTGGAAATAATTCAGTCTGACACCATTAAGTATAATGTTAGCTGTAGGATTTTCATAGATGAGGCATTTCTCTTCTATTTCCAAATTTTTGTGAGCTTTTTTTAAAAATTAGGGATGGATATTGGATTTTATCAAATGCTTTTTCTGCATCTATTGAGAAGATCATATGGTTTTGTTTTCCATTCATTACTATGTGAATTACCTTGGTTGATTTTCCAATGTTAAATCAACCCTGCTGCCCTGGGATGAACCCCACTTGGTCACGATTTATTACCCTTTTAAATTATTGTTTGATTCAATCTGCAAAAATTTTGTTAAGAATCTTTGCACCTGTGGTTACGAGGGTATTTTCTTCTACTATATCTGGTTCGGTATCCAAGAAATGCCGGCCTTGCAGAATGAGTTGGAAATATTGCCTCCTTTTCAGTTTCACAGAAGAGTTTGTATAGAATTTGTGTAATTTCTTCCTCAGTGACTTGCAGAATTCATCAGTGACGCTATACAGACCTGGAGGTTTCTTTCTGGGAAGGTTTTTACCTGTGACTCAATTTCTTTACTAGATGTAAGGCTATCAGGTTATCTATTTCTTCACCTAGGTCGTTGGATACATTGTCACAAGCTCGTCCCACAATAGCCCTTTAACATCTGTGGAGCCACAGTGGCAATGCCTCTCATCCCTGAGCCCTGATATTGATAGTTTGTGCCTTTTCTCCTTTCGTCCTGATCACTCTGGCTAGAGAGTCAACAAACTTCTTGATCCCAAATACCCAGCTTTTGGATTTATTGATATTTCTCTATTATTTTTCTGTTCTTTATTTTATCACTATGCAGTCTAATTTTCATAGTATTTTCTTCTGTTTACATTGAATTTCATTTTCTCTGCTTTATCTAGTTTCTTAATATGGAAGGTGAGGTCACTGACCTGACTTGAGGTCTAGCTTCTTCTCTCCATCTTGACAAACCTATTTCAAGTTGAAAATGTTATAAATTAAAAATGCATTTAATACACCTAACCTACTGAACACCGCTGCTTAGCCTAGCCCACCTTAAACATGCTCAGAACACTTCATTAGCCTACAGTTTGTCAGAGTCATCCAGCACAAAACCTATTTCATGATACATGGTGAACAGCTCATGTAACATATTGAATGCTGTCCTGGAGTGAAGAACAGAATGGCTGTGGACCTCATGACCATGTGCTGCTGTTTCCCTGCATCACAGAGAGGGTCCTACTGCATGTTGCTAGCCCAGAAAAGATAAAAATCAAAATTCAAAGTATGGTTTTTACTGAACACAGATTGCTTTTGTACCATGGTAAAGTGAAAAACCTCCAAGTCGAGACTCATAATACACTGCCATTGT